TATGTAACCGGCGTATCTTTACATTGAATTAAAACTGCGTGTACACATGTATCAATGCACCGAAAGAAGTTAAAAATTGAATATGATACAATCGAATATTATAAGTCGCAGTAGTATAGTGCCGAATTGATCAGACAATTCCTTGTTTTCTGGATTCATGTTACGAAAAAAGCTTCTTTAAATCTCTTCAATGGCCTGAATAGAACACTACTACTAAAAATGAAAGAAAGTATTTCTTACTTATTTAAAATTTCGACGCACAGATTGTACCGGAAGAACAATCGAGGTGGGTAAGTTTGCACATTTCTCTCGCTCTTATATCCGTGGATCGTGATATTGACGTCAAGTTTCGAACGAGACGTTTTGTCGTTTTCAAACCGAAGTTAATGATAATGTGTCTGAAACTTCAACCAGTCCTCCGGCAGAAATTGCTGAATGTTGCTACGTTCGCCAGCGCACAAACGACAGTATTTATTTCCACGTTCTTGTAACTAGCAAGACTCCTTCCTGTAGTGATACACATTCACCCCCGGCAATTGCCTCTTACGTAGAATTGCATCTTGCTCGACAATTGAAATTCAAAATTGATTCACGGGACGGAATTCAATTTAGATATTCAAAACTCCGTGTTTACATTACACGTTCCTGCAGTTCTCTTCAAGAAAAATAAATATTGAAGGATATTTCCTCACAAGGGAACTTCGATACTCCGCAAATTCTAATTTTCTTTAAGCTCCGCAGGTTTGTAAGAGAGTTCAATTGTGCAATTTTTCCTTTTTGCTAGTATTTGGTTCTTCGGTGTGAAATCGCCCCTTAAGGTTAGCCTGTGTTTTATTATTATACTGTACTAGATATAACAGAAAATGTTAAAATTAACATTTTAATATGGCATTTTATTCTCAATGAAACTGTGCAATCAAATTGTTAAAAGTTTGTAAAGCTTTATACTCAGCGTTCAACGCTCTTTCCACTTGCAAAATCAAGTTTTATATATCCATTAGTTTTAGATCTAACTTGAAAAAACAATTAGATTGTTCGATTTCAAATGATTGAACGAGGTGCTGTATTGCACACAAGAAACGACCTGTTTTAAATAGTGTCTACATCAGCAACCTCTATGACAAGAAAAGAATCTTTTATTTCACTCTGCAGGGTGTTAATAAAAATGTGAAACACTTTCACAGGGTGAATTCTACATGTAAAACTAAGAGAAAAATCAAGATTGATTAAAGTGCGTTTAAAGCTTCGTTTCTGAGTTATTAATTGTAGAAAATACAGGAAAAATACGCGTGAAATACGTCCGGCACGATGGGTATACTACTTATAACATTCGATTCCCAGCTAATACACAGTATCGAGAGATGACCTAGCTAAATTCAAAATGAAATAAAATCAAATCGATTACACCAACACATGAAACAACTGAAGAGCGCTCCTCTCAAGTAGAATATCCTGCCGTGTCAGTCGTATTTTACATGTATTTCGCCCGTATTTTTAACAATTAATAACTCGAAAACGTAACCTCAAACGGAATTTCGTAATTCTTGAGTTTCATTTGAGTTTTGCACGTAGAATCCACCCAGTGGAAGTGTCCCACATTTTTATTAACACCCCGCATAAAAATGGGAAATTATTTTGTACTCTACAATGAGCAAATACTCGAATACACTTGTATTTCGTAATCATTTCATCAATAGGTACCGAATACATTATCATTTTGTATTCTGTACCCAACAATGTGAAGAATACTTTTTGAAATGCTTTTTGCCCGTCACTGCTTAACCCCTTGCCTTACAACATCGAGTCAGATTCATGGTGACAATATCAAAATGGATTCAACAAACAGAAATATTATTCATTTTCTTTCAGTGAAAGTGAAATACTACTTTGCTGATATTAATATTTAACTTTTAGAGCAAATGTACAATTGCTATAAGTACATTGGCGTAACTAGGATTTTTGTCTGAAGGGGGCCACATGTATGTATTTTATACCATGTACGTGGGTTGCATAAAATAAAGTTACACATTTTACAATAATTATTTACATATTTATGTAACACTGAAACTAAGAATAGAACGATATAAACATAATTGGTAAAAATAAATAAAATGGGAAAAGAAATTGGCGATTGATTAAAAGCAAGAGTGTATGATGTACAGATACCTATAGTTAAAATCTATATAAGCTTCAATGTGCTGTTTTTTTCTGCAAAAACATTTTTCACATTCTCGAGCGCAAGTTTCCTTATTGCATTCGACCCTTCAATTGATGTTACAGGATTATTAGTTACAGTAGAATGTTAAAATGAAACAGCTTAATTCTAATACAATGTTATTTAATACTTTAACGTAATGAGAAGAGTATTCGACACAAGTATTTATTTTTTATAACATAAGATTTTACTAACTGACGAATGTTTTTTTACATATTTCACTAATTTCTGGACGGGGAGGCCCGTCCGCATTCTGGGGGGAGCAAGGCCCTCCCCCTGGCCCCTACCTAGTTACGCCAATGGATAAGTACACGATTTCCTGTTGTTTCTGAGGAATTATTGATGATAAAGTAATTCTGGAGACTGCAAACATCAAGAAAATCATAGGGTAAGGGGTTAAAACAATGTTCGTCTGTCGTGGGAAGACAGACGCAGTCACAGCAAGCACGGCGCCAAGGACGCCGACAGTGGTAGTAGCTAGACTGACTGGCGAAGTCAGACATGCGCTCTTAAAGAGAGAGAGAGAGTAGTCGCGGCGGCGGTGGCGACGACGGCGGCAGTGAAAGAGCCAGCCGGAGCGAAACCCACGTTTCAGTTTGTCGCGTGTGCTGGCACGGCGCGCACATTGTACATCGGGTCCCGCGTAAGGAACGCCTCGTCGAGAAGATGCCCGTGATTCGAGGTCCTCGGCGAGGGTTCGCCGGTCACGGCCGCCGATCGAGTGTTCCGCGCGATCGTCGATCCACCGCCACCCTCTCTCAACGATTTTCTCCCGCAGAGGAACGATGAGGTCAGCAGCAACGAGAAGTGCCTCGACACCGTCGAAAACCAGGAAGACTGGCCCTACGTTCGCATTCGCGAGGTACCTACTGCGAATACTTCGGTCTTTACAATGGCGAATTTTGCCTCGCACCCGACGCCAGAGACATTAATTTAGACGACAGAGAACAATTTTTTTGTTTTATATCTTTTCGTGTCTTTAATCGATTCATAAATCCCCTTGTTTTGTTCCCGACACGTGGTCCAGTGAACCTATACAACAGTGATTTCGATACTTTTTTCCCGTTCCCCATCATCGTCACGTGTTTCTACAATTCGAAGTCGTATCCCACTTTTTCCCTGGATTTTATATTTCCTGTTTATGGTGGGAGAGATCAGAAGAGTGTTCAGTTGAAGTCTTTTCTTTTCCTTCACCGGAAAACTTGGAAGAAGTGCACGGGCGAATGATACCGACTTCCCTCGGAATCTGAATCACCCCGTTCGTGTTGCGATGTTGCTTGCAGAGGCGTTCGTAACGATTGTTCGTTGCGTGACGTTTGAACAAACATCATCTTGCTCGGGGAAAATTGTTCCGGGACGGAAGCAACGTAGAGACGATTGTAACACTGTTCGCGAAATACGTGTCTCGTGGCCAGAGGAAGAACTTCTTGGTAAGGTACCCAGTTCAAATTAAACACATTTTCAATCATGCAACGGAGGTCGTGTGTTTTCGATGTGATTTGATTGTGTAAATTTGATAGGGGTCGACTATTATTACCTGGACCTTAATTGTGTTTACCTGCAGGTGAAAGAAGAATGCTTGTTTAAAAAGTTATGTCTGTTGATGATGCGATAACTAAAAGTCCAGTTACGAGTCAAATGTTTTAAGTTTTTTCTTTTTTTTGAATGGGTTTTTTAGACTTTGTTAAATCATCATTACCCTTTAGGCATCTGTTTTTGCCAGCGCTGCAATAAGCGCCACCTATCAAATGCATCAACGAGAAATTAAAACAAAGCACTTTGTTATTATCCTAAAGAATGTATTGATAAAAGCCAACACACTATTTAACGATATGTTATAGACTCTTCTTTTAACAAATTCGAAGATATCAATTATTTCTTTAACGTTCTAACCGGAGCTCAGTGTGGTATTTTATAAATCTAGTTAAACTAAATTCATGAAGCACCACTGATAGGTTTCAGAGGAAAACACTGAGAACAATAGTTGTAGCTATTGTAATTATATTCTCATTACACAAAATGGTTTTTTCATTTTGGTGAATATAGTCACTTTGATTATTATTTAAACATATTCAAATGTCTATAGTATAATAACAATTTACATCACTTTATTCGGGAAAATCCAGAGAATTATTTCATGTAAAATGCTACTGAATATCAATTACTGTAAAAGTGCAATACATTTCCAAAGTTGAAAATTTTCAAGTTTTTAAAAAATTGATTTTTTTTAGAACATTTGGGGAAACACAATTTCAAGATTCGTATTCAGCTCATAAAGCTTTATAAGAGACGCCTAAGGTTGCAAAATTGGTTACATGGATCATTTTACAATTGCTGACAGGCATACTGCTGTTCTTTCATGTCTATATAAAAGTTAATTTGTATAACCCTGAATTCCTTAAGATTTGATATAAACAAAAAAATATGTCTATATATCTACTTCTTTTTAAAAGTAAATTTAACAAGATTGGAAAAATACCATACTGTACACCGATCATGGGACACCGTTGCACATCGATAGATCATACAGAACGATGATAGATTGACGAACTCTTTTTATTCCAGCTGTGAACTGAGAACGAATGAATCATCGGTGACCGAAATTGCCGGTCGTTCGAGCGGTTGCGATCTCTCGCGATCGCCCGATATTCTCGTTGGTGCCACGGGCGGCGAACCAGAATACAGTCAACATTCTGCGCACACACATACATCGTGTCAAGCCATACACACTGTTGCTTGGCCCTGTTGGCAATTAGCAACCTAAGGAACAGCCGGAAACGAAATAATGACGGAATTGCCGATACCGTCAGTCAGCAACACCCACGCGTACACGCAAACCGGAAATGAAGCCCAGTCTCAATGCCAGGTGCAAGATGACAAAAACGAGAAGACGGAAAAAGCGGTACTGATGGTAACCATCCTCCAATTTTATTTTCATTTGTCGCCCAGCCTCGAGCCCATAAATGACGTCCATCAGAGGGGTACGGCGAAATTCTCTTCAAGGAAACTCTCTTATCCATCTATGACAATCCGTCAGACAAATGGGAGGTGAATTATTGAGACTTTGACCGCGACAACTTCTTTTTCTACGCGTTTCTTCGACTCGATAAGGGGAGACCGAGACTACAGGGGTGTTAATAATAAATGTGGGACATTTTCACAGGGTGGATTCTAGATGCCAAACTAAAAGACGAACATCATGAATAACGAAATTGTGTTGGAGCCTTCGTCTCCGAATTATTAATTGAAGAGTCCTGGGAGAAATGATCATGGTTCATTCGAAATCGAAATTAAGATTTTAGCATCGTGTGCTCCGGAAAGGTATCGAACTATAGTATAATCAATAGCAAAAGTGGGCATAAGCTAGAGAAATTAAAAATCAAAGAATCCTGGGTTCGGGAATGAACGATCAGTATCACATTTCTGCAATGAAAGAATGATTTAGGTACAACTCGATAGATCAAAGTCTGGACTAGAAAAGAAATTTTACTTTCGTAAAAGTTCTGAACGTTTAATTTTCTTGAAAAGATTCAGAAACAGATTATAAAAACGAAAAATATTAAATCTTGGATCGTATAGAGTGAGGGGTATTCATAAAGCTTGTTTTTCAAATGAAAATTTAAATTGAAACCAAATGAAACTTTTACTGTTTATGACTGTGATCATTTTTCCCTTGGACTCTTCCATTGCTAAAAAGTATTTGCGCGTATTTCGCCCGTGTTTTCGACAATTATTAACTTGGAAACTCAGCCTTGGACGCAATTTAGTTATTCTTGATTTTTCATCCTACAAAAGAACATCCCCAGAGCGAAAATATTTTTTTCGTTCCAACTGGCATGAATTTCTAGAGAATGAAAAACTATTGGACACGTATTTTATAATTTTGGCTAAAAAACGATTTGAAGGGATGCAACAGCCTCTCAAGAAATTCACCGCTCGAAATATACTTTTTACGATTACGTATAAAGTAATCGATGTATTGAAAAATGTTTGAAACAGAAGATGCTCAGTTTTTAACGTAGAATTATAGGGATGCATAAAAAATGTGTTATCTATGGTTTTTAAAAAATAATAAGTAATCGTGAAAAGTATATTTCGAGCGGCGTATTTGGAGGGACTGTTTCACCCCTTCAAACAGTTTTTAGCAAAAACAAGAAAATACGTGTCCAATAGTTTTTAATTCTCTACAAATGCGTCCCAGTTCGAACAAAGTAAATATTTTCACTCTGGGTATGTTCTCTTCTTAGTTTTCCATATGAAATCCACCCTGTGAAAGAGTCCCGTATTTTTACCAAGACCTTGAACACATTTTCAACCTATTCATAAATGCTTCCATACTTCATCAATGTTAAAAAAATAACTACTCAAAAAATATTTTATCTCAATTTATACCAAGATCATACGAAGAATAGTCATTGTTTACTTTGGTAATCAAGTTAACTTCAATGAAATTAAGTACATAACTTTATAGTGTTTATTTTACAAATTTAATTGATTTTGTACCATTCCTAACAAAAAAATTGATATTTTCGTTTTGTCTATTTAAATTAATAATATTATCCACTGTGGCGTGGGCTCGCTCCGGATCAAGAATTATTCTATTTCGATGATCATCGCATTCGCATTTGATCCCCATTAACCGGATGCGTAACGAATTGTTCAATTTATAGCCCTGGAGAGCTTAATCCCTCCGTTTGTGAATATTAGAGCAACTCGTTGCGTGACTCCGGCGTGATCGGCACCACGCGTCGTTGCATCTCGTCGGGCGAGCCCACGGGATGGGAAAATGGGATTATTAATCGGCATGACGGGGTTTTAATTCGCAGCAAATAGAGGAGATTAACAGCCAAGTGGCGCAGTTCCGCGAGCTGCTGATAAACATCGGACAGCATCGAGATTGCCCGGAGATGCGGGAAAAAATCCGGAGGCTGCGTCGAAACTGCGTGGACGCGTGTAAATCTACGTCCCAGAACATACTGCCACAAGTACGAAGGTACGGAGATTTAAACAATTATTATTTTCTTTAATAATTTTCGGCCCCCCGTTGATTTTAACTTCGAGAGACATCTGTACCGTTTCGTAATTAAATAATAACAAAACGATCTGCAATCGAAATCATAATAATGATAAAATAGAACAATAAAATGGGAATTTTTAAAATATTCTGATATTTCGTTCTTTCATCACAGTTAGTTTTGAAAAACGGTACATTTCCTATAAAGAGAAGAAACAATGTTTCCAGGCAGAAAATCAGTCTGTACAACTGTAGTTGTAAGAGATGTACGCGAAAAACGACATGTTAAAACAACAACTCATATAATAAACGTGAATAACAAACACGATATTCATCATCATATTTTCTGTGTCTTATGACGGTGAATGTATAACGAACAAATTAATAAGTGATTCAATCACAGAAAAGACCAATCCGATCAGTGGTCACGAGACCAATCGATGGCCAGGAGGGTTAAGAAAATGTCCCGAAGTAAGCGCGAAAGAAAGGGAAAGGGGCAGTCCGTGGACCGATTGATTAACCAGTTTACGTCGATTACGCCGATCGAACGTTAAACGAAGACGTCGCACAGGGACGAGCTCGAGTTGCCTCCTGCTAATGAGATTTTAATTAACGCGGTAAAATATCCGATCATTCCATCAATAACGTCACCTCTTATCTTGTTTAGAAAAACAAACGTATTAGGGGCACCAATCGGTAATCCACTATTTTTCGACGAAATTAGTATTCGTTTGTGTTGAAATCAAGGATTTCCGCTGTTTCAATTATAATATCCATAACGATATCTTAACACTCTACACCCCGCTCAGCAGTTAGATCAACATGAATCGCAGGTAGTGTACTACCAAATCCTTTACGTAACCGTGCTACCGAATCGCATCATATTGGCATTGATCCGACTAATTGACATCTAACTAATTTGCAACCTCCTGCTCCATTGAATATCCTTATATAAAACACCGTAAAACCCGTCTAAACAAACAGTACCGCATCACGAATCAAATTCTATCACTTCCGCATTCAAATGAAGTGTCAACTTTGGAGAGACTATTTAAAAAGTACCAAAAAGTACTTCCGGAATCTTTAGTGCATTTATGTAGAACATATTAAACTTTACATTGAAGTCAAATTTAACTGCTCAAGTTTGCTCAAAATGGGGAAAACAGACGAAATTATTATCCAAACCTCTACCGTAGTAATTATACTTAATTACTCAAATATTAATTGCGGTACTTGTAATTAAAAATCGTAATGTAAATTCATTTAAGTAATTAATTAAATTAGTCATAATCAAATGTAGTAAATTAAATGTATTTCAATATTTGATTATAGAAAGTATAATTAATATAATACAACAATGTTTGGAATAAAAGTCAATCAGCATTCAGTTGACAACAAATTGCAATAGTAAATATTAATAAGAAAAAAACTTTTTATTCAATAAAAAATCAAGAACACCTACATTTTTTTAAATGGAAATGTACATTCTTTATGCAATAACCGATGCATCTGCGCATTATATTTAAAAAGGTAATAGGGTATTTAGGACGAAAATTGATTAGTTCAGAAGTAATTATTTTTTTCCCATACACACATACACTCGCAACACTGTGCGGTGGTGTACACGCAGAAACGCGTTACCATCGTCTCAAAATCCTTAAATAAAAGGCATTGTCCGTTCCCATTGTGCCGAGAGGATTGATCGTGGCTATTATGGCCGCGTTTGTCCCCCACCCCCCCCCTCCGCCGAATTACATTTAATTCCCGTGAGAGGAAGAAAAAGTTTATCCCCCGAGGGTAACACCAGGGAGGATCGAGTCCGAAATCGATGCAAGATCGATAGGCTCGTGACAAAGGAGCGTTGCGCGGGAAAAAGTTTCTAATCCACGGGAAAAAATTTCTAATTTCCGTCCTTTGTATCATCGGATTCTGCGCTCAGAAGAGTCCGTCATAAAATATCACTCTAATTTGTTAATGCGTAAAATACGAAAAAATTTAATGTATTATTCGTTATATTGTATAGTCGTAAAAAGAGAATACACATTATGAATTTATTGGTCATAGTGTCGCCAAAATTTTAACAATATTACAACAGAGTAACAGTGGACTCTATTCCCTGAATATAATAATGAACCCACACCAAGAGTACCAAAATGTCTCAGGAACCATTCCATATTTCAGAACAGCAATTTTCCATTTGACAAAATACATTAAATTTCTCAAAATCACTCGTCACAGAATTGTTCTATCTGAGAAACAAAATCGTTCGCTACTCCGTTTACCATAATGATCCTGTCACCTCTTCTGGAAACAACATACGGTACCTAAGAGAATGGAAAGAAGGATGGGGTGTGTAAGCGGGGTCCGGCTTTGAAGTTGACAGCAAGGAATGTGTGATCGATTCCGTGGAATTGGTTTCCTGGAGAATAGTGACCGTGGTCCAATCTCCAAAGATTTCCCGAGCTTTGAGAAATTTCCTTGGAGGAGCGGGTCGGTTCTAATGAAAATCTAAATGTTTCATGAGATATCCCCCTTTCTCGTCCACGCTCTCGTTGCTCTTCCGGGTCTACGATCAAGTGGCCAATGAGGTCGTTGATTAATCATTCGCACGCTCGTGTCGCTGTCATCTGAACGTTGAAACTCTTTTAACCCTTTACGCCCTGAGGATACTTTGTAACACAACACTTATATATTACAATAAGAATGCTGCCATGCACCGTTTATGTTTAGAACCCAACTAGAACTAATAAATATTCGGTTGAGTTATACGTGACTACCTTCAAGGATGAAGAAAATATATTTTTTCAGAAAAATCCGTATTACCTATCTTCGAGTTCTGGAATAAAATCTACGGTAAAAAAGAAACAATAACATAATTCAGATCATAAAAGGTTAAGTTTAATAGTACTGTACGCAATTGCACAATCTCTATCGTACCATAAAGTTTACTGCATCTTTCTCCTACGTATAAGGATAATATTTCATATATTATAATGCTACTCCACGTGAAAGTCGTTCGACGTCATCCTTTCCCTCTTTCAAACTCGCTATCCGTTCCTTTATTTTAGTTCATTTTCCGAAGCTTCCTTTAGCTTCTGCCCCCTATCAGACGTTCTATGCACTTTGCCTTAGTCTTTCGGCAGGTTGAATTTCATAGCAGCAGAAATGCTGAACCTCGGCTATTTCATCATTTATTTTGTGTATCATGATACAACGAAACCGTGATTATTATTACTACGTGATGAACACAACATAATTATACGTATTGTTAGTACAGTATATGTCGATATATTATTCTCCTCTAATGACTATCGACGCATCGTGGGCCTATTCATCGCTTAGATCAACAATGGCGAAGTATTTTTAGCAGTAGGCCAGAATCGAATGAAAAATTAAAAGTCGCGGGTCAAATATTTGAACTGAGTAATTTAAATAAATAATAATTGAGAGATTTATATTGTGTTTCGCAAAGATTTGAAGTCTCAATTTTTTTATAATTTACAGAACTTAGACTTTCTGAATATTCACGCGGGTACCTTAATACTTTGACTGCCATTTCACCCAATTATGGGTTACACGTACACTGCAAAGAGGGCTAGATTATTTAAATACCGTTACCAAATTTTTGTGTAAAATTAATATTGCAGTATAATTTAAAACAGAGACCAACAGCCCCTATTAACTAAATGCAGTAATCTGGCTACGTATGGCTTTTTTCACTGTGACAGTCAACGTGTTAAAATTGTTTCACAGGTCACTCTACGATCATAGGGTTCCCCGTCGCTGGCTTAGATTTATGGTTCTTCGGAACGGTTTCCTCGAACAGTGAATTAAAAATTTCCTCGAACACGAAGGTGACGTCGCGTAACTTTTTCTGCGTGGGCGTTACGTAACAAGAAAACCGACTCACATTCGTCATTGGCTCTAGGATATTTCCACTTACGCCTGTTTGAGGATTCTCGGTATTTTGAAGGGACGTTGTTGTATGAAAAATAGAAAGAAGTCAGAATTACTCGACCCACGGGAGGAGATTCTGAAGAACTTCATAGGTAGTTTTATTTCGAACAAAAACCTCAACGACGGTGTCAAACTTGAGTCGAACTCAATCAAATACATTATCGTCACTTATTCACAAATAATACGTGATTATATTTCATTCGCTAAATATTAAATAGGTACTACAAATCGAATGTGAGTTCACACACATGTCAATTAAAATGCTATTAACGGTGATACATTTACATTCTCTGATCTTCGTCAACCTATAAAAAGAAGTTCAAAAAGTTTGGTAATTATTTAGGATAGAAGGATACCTCATCGATTTCGTTAACCTTGGAATATGTTATCCTGAATAATTTTTTCCTAAACATATAACTGTCTTAGATTTGGACTTAATAATAGAAAACAAAGTAACCTCAATGTATATCAAACTTTATCGTATATTATCGGGTTTGCGTTCGGTCAGTAATTGGAAATAATTCTGTCATCATATAGCGGTACATGTATAGGAAAAAATTACTCAGAATGTTGACCTTGACGACATATTTCCAGCTCATCGAAATCGTATCAGGTCCCCCTATTCTAATTACCAAAAATTATCCAAATATCGTAGTTACAACGGTCACTAAATTCCTGGCGAAGATCAATACCCCAAAGTGTCGTATCACTCCGAAAGTTTGCTTATCCCTGCACTCACAACGCCAGATTAATTCGTATAATCAAGGCTCCACGCAAATTGAAACGTTTCACCAGCCTCCGCTTCTCCCTAACAAATACACACACACTCGATACCACATGCACGCTTTAATCCTTTAACACCCAGACCTAAATCAGTATTTCAAAATTATATGACTGATATATACGTATGTTGTATCTTATTTTGAAATCGAAAATATCGATATTAAATGATACATTTCTGAAAATTTACAAATTTATAAATTAACTAATTTCTTCATTTTCGTATCGAAATGAAAGTTGCA